ATGTTTCTTTGTGAAAAGGCCCGAGACTTTAGTTCCTTCAAGGACTAAAGAAAATAAAGCAAAATTAGCAACATATACAATACATGCATCATTAATCAGAAAATACAGTATTTCGTCTGGAAAAATGTTCGTTCTAAGCAGAATTAGAAATTTTCATTAATTTTATTGTTGTTCTGAGCAGCCATTTTGCAAACATGCCATTGAGGAAACACAATTTTTGTTTAAAAATTTCTTTCTTTTCATTAATTAATAACTTTCATTAATTAATAATTTTCATTAATTCATAAAATTTCGTTCTTTTCGTTTAAGAACGAAAAGAACAAAATTAAACTCTGACGGAATATGACAAGAATTAATGACAAGTACATGTACATGTATAATAATAATTAATATAATATCAGCTACTACTGTATAGTGGAAACCACTGATTATTAATTAAATTCATTTATATAATTATTTTGAATTATTATGTCAGTTAATAAAGATAATCTGGTGAAATAATTGGGGCGAGCATGAGCGAGCCCCACTCAGGCGAAGTCTCCCTCCTTCTGTATGTATGTATGTACGTCTCGTGTGCACTACTCTCTATTTAAAATCAATGATCTAATGCAGTAGCTTTCTGAATAAATATTTTCGTGGGTGTGGTTGCAATGAAACAAATTGCAAAATGGCTACTATCAAGGTGAAACCAGCTCGAGCAAATCTTACTGAAAATAAGCAAAACTTTCAGCAAATAAGATTGATTTCTTGTCCAGGCATCCAGCAGAAAGAAGCTAAGAAAGCAGATATAGATCTATATCTTAAAGGTCTTTTGATTTATGGGTGAATGACAGTCAAAGAGAAGGCTTTAGAGTCAAAGAGAAGGCCTATAGCAGTACTGTGCTTAGCTATAGAGTTAAATTATGCTTAAATTGCAGCTGAGATTTTTACTAATAATAAAGGTAGAGGAATAAAATTGTCTTCCAACATGCCATGCATGCAAGTCAGTGCATGTGTATGCTCGTGCTCGCCCCTTTAATGTTTTGCATTCGTCTAGTATCCTATACCAAAAGGCTATACTGTTAATTTATAATTATTATATTCAATATGTACAAATTGTGTATATTCAATACATTTGTATTTACATGTACTCACTGAGTTCAATAACTGCTGTATCAGTGTATGACGACTCTCCTCCAAACACAATTATCCAGTTAGTGGTTGGAGTCACACTCCACAATGAGAGAGAATGATCATATCTATCAGTGACATTCTTTGGTATATTAAACTATAAAGGAGGATTATAATAAATATAATTTGTAATATTCATTGTCACGTACTGTACATGTACATGTATTGTTATTAAAATTTGATTAACTCATTCCTCAATAGTTTATCCAAAACCATAAACTCCACCCAAAATGTCTAAACCACACCAACAATATAATGTTATACTTACCAGTTCCTTCCATGATTTATTTTTAATATCAAATATCCAAAGATCAGAAGCACGAATCCCACCCACCACTAGTAGGTGTGGCCCTGAGCTAGTGTTAATCAATACACTGGAATGAGCCCATCTTTCCTTAGGCCATTGTACTGATCGTCCAGGATTAGATAACTTTAAACAATTCTAAAATAATAAAATAAAATTCATTTAATTAAGTAATCCACATATTCATAAATAATTATTGTAACTATACTCATAATACACTCACCACTGATGTATCAGTAAAATTAAGAATATATACATTGTTACTCCATCCAATAGCAATGTCACCTCCAAATAATATAGCACTGGAATTATTAATTGATGTTAAAGTGAAGGCAGCAACAGGGGGTGGTCTGTCTCCAGTGACAGCTGGTGATATCCAATCACCTAAAATAATAAATATATATAATATAATTAATGATCAGTTTGTTGATTATAA